GCGGTCGCCAGTCGGGCAGAGAGTGTGCCTAGTGGCCATTCGCCCGTTACGCAGGCAAAATCCAGAGGCCGGCCACCGTATAATAAGCAGCCCTACGCAAAGCATGGGCTGACCGAAACAACTTTGCGACCGGTAAACTTCTCCAGCATTCATATGCAGCAATATTTCTCAAGCTACAGAAAAGGGCTTCAAATGCGTTCAATTTATCAACCCGTTCGATATAAATTCTTCACCATGTGTCCTCGTCAATATTCATATGTATACACGTATAAAAAGTAATACATAATAGACATCCCGGCGGTGAAAGAGTGGAAAAACAAAATCTGTGAATACAGCGCTCGTGAGATGAGACAACATAAAGGAATACACGAATATCTGTAAAGGGTGGGATTGGATCGGCTTCACTTCTCGATGATGATTTGTCCGGAGTCCAGGGTACACCGGCGGTCTTCGTAATTATCTATTCAACTACGAATTTTTAATCATCGCCAGCAGCTACGTAGCAAGTCTGTTGTCGACCCACCACAGTTACGTTCCTTTACCTTTACCTTATTTCAGAAAGACAAACGACGAGTGATTACAACCAAGACTGGAAGTCACATTTTCTAATTGCCTCAGATTAACCTAAGATTAAGCACCTATTGCTAGATCGAATCTCTCAATTGGTCATATATCATAGCCAACTGACTGCCCAATGAACTTAAATATCAGTGGACCTGCTGTCGATTTACGGCGGCAATTCGACGCAAAGTTCGAAGAGGACAAAAGGACGTCACAAATGGAGCCTATTCAGTTCGAGGAGGACTGAAGCCACTGGTGCGATAAATAAGTCTGCAAACCAAAAGGAACTGAAGACTGTAGAGATGGAATGGCCAAATGATAGCCCTATAGGTGGACAACCCTTTCATTGTATGAAACACTGGCATACATGCGTAGCTATCGAGGTCGAGGTGTGAGAACCTCTGTGCCGCCGAACAAAAATGGCTGAGAAACGAAATGTTCGGTGCAGTTTGGAATATTGCTGGTGAGGAGAAACGTGGAAAGAGCAGCATGGGAATTATTTTTTTTACTACTTTGCCAATTATTCTCGCTAGTACCACTTCTGCGTGCGCGATGCTGAGAAGGGCACAAATCGTACGACAGATGGGTTTTAGTAGAAAGTATTTTCAAAATGAGCTGCAAATAAAAACTGGCAGATCATTTAATGCCTGAGAGAATATGTTGACGGAATAATTCTGGTCCATTAACCATGATGGCATGTATGAAGAAAAGGTGATAAATTCCGATGAACAGAGAATTATAACTCACCCCGCGTTCTACTGACCGAAAATCAAGTGACGCTGGTATCACTGATATCAGGAAATGCGGAGAAAAAAGAAATACAGAAAAGAAAGATAATGCCACCACGATTTTCAACATCAAGAAATTCGTCCAGAAATGTTGCCTAAACTTACAGCTAGCTCTTAACTTGGAGGGAGAGGCATTCCGTGTTCTTGCTACCTTTCTATTACCGAACCTGAAACGGGGGTATGATTTATTCGGCAGTTTAGTACGACGACCGCCACTAAGCGGAAGAACCCTTTATTTATTTTAACGTGAAGCTGGAGCAGTGCGACGACAGTCATTTCCTAAATTTACAGAAATAAAAACCAACGTGTCTTTTCATTAAACAATAATTTATTTCTCAAAAATTAGATGGTGGCATGCTTAGCATCGAAGTATCTGTACAGGCAAGCCCTAAAGAGCGTTATAGACTAATCTAGAAGTGCTGAAAAACGAATTGGCATACTGTGGCAACGGTAATGCACGCTGTACTGTATTCTGTACCCTACAGATACGTTAGAATATCATATCCTATGATCCAAACGTGAAATCAATCTTTCCTAGTCATATTTTTTT